TTGTAAACCGATAAACTATAAACCAATCTGAGAAGGTCCGAAGTATTCGTGTGTCGCATCTATTAGTACATTTAAGTTGTTTTCTAACTGGACTTTAGACGTCCATTAGGCAAAACGAACATATAAACCAATCTGTATACGTGATTGTATTAAGCAAAAGGTTCCACCCAGGATATTACAAAGGAACACTCGGTTTCTTCACGATGTACAAGGCTGAAAATCCAATTACGATAAGAACTTACAAGAGAATGCATATTTTTCTCAAGAAATAACACTTTGAAAGCAAAATTCCCTTCAGATATAACAAAATTTGTGGAATTTTAACAAAATATTTCAATTGGACTTAGGATTTTCTCAAGAAATAAAAAAATCAATCCACAATTAGAAAAAGAATATTACAACTTTATACAGGGATTTGTCTTGAAATAAAATCTGAAACCATAACTAATATGCGTACAAATTCTACAGATTGTAAAGAGGAAATTAATTAAATGGCGTCTAGAATTTATGTTTCCACTTGATTTTTCTTGTCATAATTGGATTTCCGGACATTATCATTAGTTTTATCGACAGATTCCTTGATAAATATTTTTTTCGTGACATAACTGTTCCTATCTCATTTCTTGATTTAAAAAAATAAAATAAAAAGTTGACATTCTTAGTCATAATTGAACTATCAGACGATTTTTCTAGGAAAAATCCTTTATAAAGTTTTTTTTACATATATGTTTGTTCAGATCTCATTTCTTGAAAAACAGGCACGTTCAGCTGCCATTTTTTGTCATAATTGAACTCTCAGTTGTTTTTTCTGAACAGAATCCTTTATAAAGTTGTTTTTTCGTGACATAACTGTCCGTTCCTATCTCATTTCTTGATTTAAAAAAATAAAATAAAAAGTTGACATTCTTAGTCATAATTGAACTATCAGACGATTTTTCTAGGAAAAAATCCTTTATAAAGTTGTTTTTCTTTCATATATATCTGTTCAGATCACATTTCTTGAAAAAAAATCGCATGTTCAGAAGGCATTTTTTTGCCATAATTGAACGTTCAGATGATTTTTCTAGAAAAATTCGCATCTTCATGTGCCATTTTTTGTCATAATTGGACTTTTGGATGTTTTTTCTTGACAAAATTCTTTATAAAGTTTTTTTTTCCTATTATTACTTTCCGTTAAGATCTCAAAAGGGTCAATTTGTCACGAAACATCCCAGATAAACTTGACAACATTTCAATTCCACATTTCGATCTGGTTTTTTGACCCGGTGAGAGAGTGGAAGAGAAGTAGAACATTTTCCCCTGCCACGAACGTCCTTCATTGACACACCTTTTAAAAAGAGAAGCGAAAATTTACAATTCAAATCCGTTCAAAAATAAATCAAAAATAAATAAATAAAATTTGCATATCCACTCCGTTGGTAGATTTTTCCTTTCTTTTATTAGGTGTTTTCCTCAGCCTTGAGAATTAGGCCGGATTTTCCCCCACGTATACAGGGTGTCGCAGGGGGCGGGCGGTATGTTTTGACCCCATTTTTTTACTTCTTCATAATCTGATTTTTCCCCTCTGTTTGTTCTAATTTCGTCGCATTGTTTTGTCGGCCGAGCGTGAAGACAAACAAGGCCCCCCCCCCGAGGGGAAAAGCGGCCGCCAAAAATATCGAAAACCTTAAAAATAAATTCCAAAAAAATAAAACAAACAAATTTCAAAACATTCTAATTATATTTAAAAAAAATGTTATAAAAAATGCACTAAATTCTCTATTCGCAATTATAAAAATGTGTCAGGTTTTGGGGGTAAAGGGCGATGATTCGGTTTTCTAAATCATGCACAACTTACGTGCATGAAATGGTGACGTGCATGTTTCATTTTTTCTTTTTGCGATTCTTCAAAATTTCTAATTGATTTCATTTTTTCAACTCTATCTCTGTTATCTTTCCAAATGTTGAGCGAGCGTGTTAGCGAGAAAAGAAAAGAAGCGCAAACTATCAGACAAAACAGCAAACGTGATGCTAAAAGTGAAAAAAAACTACTTTAATGCCTTGGTTGGGGTACTTAGAGGTGAAGGAGGGCTGGAGTGCAAAACTAATTAATTAATTAATAAGAATAAATAAAATCGGAATAAAAGCAAATTTTTTAAAACATGTAATATGGAAAAATAAAACATGTAATACGGGAAAATTTGCTTTTGGCCGGGTTGTTAATCACTAATTAAATGCATTACAGAGCACAAAAGAAATCAAAATAAATTGGGAAATCTTGAGGATATTTTTGACAGTTTTCATTAAAGAAATTTTATATTGGAGTGGTAGCAAAAAAAGGTCGAATTTGACAATTTTCTCTTCGTTCATGAATAAATATCGAATATATCTTTTCATTCAAAAAGTTTTTCAATGGATTAGCGGTAAAAAAAAGGTTGAATTTGAAGGTTTTCATATTTTATGAAAACGTACGTCAAGATTGAAGGTTTTTTAAAATGTTTTTTATGAATATAAAATTGAAACATTTCACGATGGAAATTTTATTTTATAGTTGAGGTAAAAAAACACGAATTTGACAGTTTTTTATTTTTTCATGAATATCTTACTCAAAGCTCACATCTATGGGGTTAAAAATGTCGAATTTGACAGTTTCATATTTTATATATATATATATGTAGATAAAATTTGGCACTTTTTACCAAGGAAATTTTATTTTGGAGAGAAGGTTAAACAAAAAAAAACAAACAGTGGAATTCACATTCGACTGGGTTCTTTTATGCCAAAATTTTTATGTATGGGTGAGGGTGCAAATGGTTGAATTTAAAAGTATTAAATTGTTCATAAACGTACGTCAAAGTTGACGTTGTCATAAAGAACACATCATTGTAGGAGTGGGGGAAATAATGTTCGAATTTGACAGTTTTACATTTTTTTACTAATGAATGAATGTTAAGTTTGAAAAGTGGGGCAAATTTTATTTTGGAGTGGAGGTAAAAAAAGTCGAATTTGACAATTTTCTATTTTTCATGAATACGTTATCCAAAGTTCACATCTATGGGGTTAAAAAATGGCGACTTTGTCAATTTCATAAAGAATACGTCGTTGTAGGAGTGGGGGAAGTAATGGTCGAATTTGACAGTTTTATATTTTTTTTTTACGAATGAATGTTAAGTTTGAAAAGTGGCAAATTTTATTTTCGAGTGGAGGTAAAAAAGTCGAATTTGACTTGTTTTCTATTTTTCAAGAATGTATGCCAAATTTGAGTTCACACGAAGAAGTTGTACGTTTAGGTTGGGGTAAAGTCCAGTTTGATAGTTTTTTAATTTTCATAAAAATAAGATAAATTTAACAGTTTTTTTAATGAATGTTTTATATTTTTTACGTATATATGTAAGCAATATTTGACACTTTTCTCGATGGAAATTTTATTTAAGTATGAGGGTAAAACTAGTTTGACAGTTTTTTATTTTTCATAAAAATAAGATAAATTTAACATTTTTTTCTGAATATAAAATTCGAAAGAAATAAAAAAATTTTATTTTAGAGTGGAGGGAAAAACACTGGAATTTAACAGTTATTTTTCATGAATATATTATTCAAAGTTGACAGCTGTCATAAACAAAATTTCTAATTGGAGTGGGGATAAAAAAGGTTGAATTTGACAGTTTTATATTTTTTACGTATATACGTAAGCAATATTCACGATGGAAATTTTATTTTGGTATGAGGGTAAAAACAGTTTGACAGTTTTTTATTTTTCATAAAAATAACTAAAATTTGGCTGCTTTTTATTTTTATGAATATAAAATTTCATACTTTTCTAGATGGAAATTTTATTTTGGAGTGGAGGTAAAAAAGCAGACGAATTTGGCGATTTTTATGGGGACAATTTTATGTTCGAGTGAGGGTAAAAACGGTTGAATTTGACAATTTAAAATTGTTCATGAATATATGCAAATTTGACACTTTGCACGAAGGAAATTTTATTTCGGAGTGGATCTAAAAAACGGTCGAATTTGACAGTTTTAAATAGTTCATGGATTTATGCAAATTTGACACTGCACGAAAGAAATTTTATTTCGGAGTGGATCTAAAAAACAGTCGAATTTGACAGTTTTAAATTGTTCATGAATATATGCAAATTTGACACGTTGCACGAAGGAAATTTTATTTCGGAGTGGATTTAAAAACAGTCGAATTTAACGTTATAATTTATTCATGAATATATGTAAAATTTGACACTTTGAACGAAGGAAATTTCATGGTGGTATGAGGGTAATAGCAGTTGAATTTGAAATTTTTCTGTTTTTCATAAATATACGTCAAATTGATCAGTTTTCATGAAAAATTCTTTAAGTTGGGTATGGGTAGAAAAACGGAAAATTCCACGACTTGTAAGGTAAGGTAAAAACCGTCTGAAATTGAAATTTTTCTTTTTTCATGAAATAAAGAAAATTTCTGGGGGGGGGGGTTAAAAACGGTTCAATTTTACAGTTTTAAACTCTTCATGAATATATGTGAAATTTGACAATTTTCAAGAAGGAATTTTATTTTTGTGGTGGGAATGAAAATCCTTTCAATTCGACAGTTTTCTTTTATATGAAATTATGAGATATATGTTAAATTTCACACATTTCATCGTTTCTTTTTTTGGGGGGGATGTGGGGGTAGGTGAGACAGGACAACTTTAATGGATAAGTATCGAAATAGGGGGGGGGGTTCAAATTTTGTCTTGTGTAAGTTTCTGGTGTTGAGAAGAGGGCAGAAGACAATTTGAAATTTTTCATGAAAAAACGTCAAATTTGACACTTCATTTTACAGATAAAGTTTTCTGTTGGTGAGGGGGGGGGTGATTTCCCAATTTTTACCTTTGTGCACAGTCAAACGGCACAAAATTATGTTAAAAAAATTAATCAATAAAAAAATCAAATGCTCGAAAATTTGAAACATTCCGTTCAAAAAAATTGGGCGATTTTTTTTGCAGTTTGAATTTATTTTTTCTTTTGCAAAATTTTACGTACGGTCTCTCTAAGACAGGAGGCTCTGCTTCTTTCAATCTGGAAACAATTGACAAATTGAGGGCAGGCTCATTGATCCTAGTCCAAAATTGAGTACTTCAAATTGAAACAATAACGAAGAAAATATTCCAAAGACTTTGGTTTTTGTATTTTTTGTTGTTGTTTTTTTTGGACCCACCTTTCGCTTGCGATGCTGGAATGCCTCGACATGCTCTTCGGCGAGACCTCGAAGTCCGAATCGGACCTGTAGAGGAAGGACTCCCTCCGCTGCGGCAGGTTCTGCAGAAGAAGGACGGCCGAGGGGGATGCTGCGCCGTCCGCCCTCCCGACACCGCCCCCGCCGCCGCTCCCTCCATTCTCCACATCGAAGCTGAAACAGAAAAAAAGAAAAAAAAATAGGTTAGAAAGCTATGATGAGGCCGGATCCATCAGTGAACTGTGTTCAATGTCGTAAGCCCGTAAGTGGGATGGACTTAGAGGAAGTGGTGACGTTGTGCATCTGTGGTCATGGTTGAACATAAGTTGACACAACTATGCACAAAAATGAAGGTTGGAAAGAAGGAAGTTAATTGCCGCACATGGTTCGAACTCAGGTGATCTACCTGTGTAGAATAATGAAAGTTGCAAAGAAGAAAGGTTATTGCAGAACATGGTTCGAACTCAGGTGGCCCAACTGTGTAGAAGAATGAAGGTTACAAAGAAGAAAGATTATTGCCGAACATGGTTCAACCTCAGGTGGTCCAACTGTGTAGAATAATGAAAGTTACCAAGAAGGAAGGCTATTGCTGCACATGGTTCGAACTCAGGTAGTCCGACAGTGTAGAACAATGAATATACCAAGAAGGAATGTTGGCACATGGTCCAACTGTGTAGAACAATGAAAATTGCAAAGAAGAAAGGTTATTGCAGAACATGGTAGGAATTCAGGAGGTCCAACTGTGTAGAACAATGAAGGTTGCAAAGAAGAAAGGCTATTGCAGAACATGGTAGGAATTCAGGTGGTCCAACTGTGTAGAACAATGAAGGTTGCAAAGAAGGAAGGTTATTGCCGAACGTGATTCAACCTCAGTTGGTCGAACTGTATAGAACAACGAATGTTACTAAAAAGGAAGGTTACTGCCGCCCATGGTTCAACCTCAAGTGATCCAACAAGAAGATCGGTTGTAGAACAATGAAGGTTATATAGAAGGAAGGTTTCAACCGAACATCATACGAGGTCACGACGTCCAACTTTATTGAATGATTGAGCCTAGAGAGAAGGTTATTACCGAACATGATTCAAGGTCAAAATGTATACAATAATGAAGGTTGCAAAAAAGTAATGTTATTACCGGACGTGATTCAACTTTATGAGATACTGTGTAGAAAATGGAGGTTATATAGAAGGAAGGTTATAACCGAACATGATTCAAGGTCACTAGTTCGACTGTGTAATACAATGAAGGCAGGTTATAATTAAGAGGACGGTTCGATGCGCAGTAGATATGCGGACTTTAGATATGGTTTGAAGTCCATGATGCAGAATAAAAAACGTAATAGAACGATCATATCCAGTAGTAACAAGATCATTACCTAAAGTTAAAATCATAACTGATCATGATTCTTAGCCATGTTCATGGGCGTATCGTATTATTTTTATGTTACCCGGATCTAAGGATGTTTCAGATCACGAAGTAGTGTTATGACTTAGACAAGTACGATCATGTCTCATCATGATTCAGACATCATGATCACAGATTGGTCATATAAAAATGTTAATTAAAAAGTGCACAGATCTGAGGAAGTTGTAAGCCGGGAGGAAGAATTAGGAATGAGACGAGGAGATCATATCCAATCATGATTCAGATCCATGATCATAGACTGCTCGTCGATAGATATGATGCCGGAAGGTGAACCCATGTTATGATATTTTAAGGTCATGAGATAGAAGTTGGTAAAGGCCACAATCATTACAGCTCATTAGAAGAGCTGATGTCGAAAACTGCAGATCAGGAAATGTTTGAAGAACAGGCGTGAGAATGGAGTAAAAGGAGAAGCTGATCACATCCGATCATGATTCATCGCAATGATCATGACTGCTCTTCGATAGAGATGAGGTTGCAACATGCCAGATCAGGGGTATTTTCATTGTCATGAGGCAGAATTGGGGAAAGGGATGAAGTTCATGATTCATGGCAATGATCATAGACTGCTCGTCGATAGATGTGATGCCAAATGCTGACCACATGTTATGTTATTTGAAGGTCAGGAGAAAGAATTAGGAATAGGATGAGGAGATCATATCCTATCATGATTCAGAGCAATGATCATGACTACTCGTCGATAAAGATGAGGTTGAAACATGCGAAAACTGTAAAAGTTTTAATGTCAGGGGAAGAATTTGGAATGGAATGAGATCCTATCCGATCATGATTTATATACGGCTCGTTGAGAGAGCTGATGTCGAAAACTGCCATGTCCGGTAAAGTTTCACGATCAGGAAAGAAAATTGGGTAAATGGAGAAGTAGATCATATCCATTCATGATTCATTGCAATGATCATAGACTGCTCGTCGATTGATGCCGAAAGCTGACCACAAGTTACGATTTTTCAAGGTCATGAGGAAGAACTAAGCATTGGACGAGATCCAATCATAATTCAGAGCTATGAACATAGACAGTTTTTCTGTTGGGATGATGTTGAAAAATACCAGATTCAAGGTCAGGAGATAGAAATTCGAAAGGGACAAATTGATCATGATTCAGAGCCATGATCATGCCTGTCGATAGAGGTTAAGAAAAGATTGACCAAATCTGAGAATACTTCAAGGTTAGCATTAAGAAGGCTCGAGGTAGCATTAAGAATGGGGCAAGAAGATCTTATCCGGCCATGATCATGATCCAGACATTATCATAGATGGCTACACTATAGAGGTTTTAGGGAAAATTGGCCGGATGTGAGGAGGTGTCAAGGTCAAGGTGGATAGTGCCACTTGGTCTAGATCATGTAGTGACTCATGATCATGGATTTGATAAGTTTTCCTAGCTTTTTCTAATAGGTAACACTGACAATCGACACTAAGCGGATAAAAAATGTCTGATATTTTAATGTTTTTTTTTGGTCGGCTCTTTCCAAAATTGGCCGCCCCCCGGGTCAAGTAGCCGTGACCCAAAAAACCGAACCCAGTAGTGGGAGTTCCATCAATGAGCCGACGTCCCGTGTATTGATTCCAGGGTTGCGGATCGGGCCGAGGGATGGCAGCACGTCTCCCCCGCGCGCGCGGCATTTTAGAGGCCGGTAATCAATTAAATAAGAATCACGGCTCGCGAATCATAAATATCCAACGAGAGACATCATAGGGGGACGTGGACGGTTTAGTGTTTGGGGGGGTGGGGTATTCATGACGAAGGATGTAATGAGTCTGATGGAGGAGGGGGTAAATAGTGAACGTTTATGATCGATCATAATCAAATCTCGGGCCTGGGGGTAAACGGGATCGTACGTCAAGAAGTCAAGGTCATTTCAAACGGACACGATCCAGTATAATGAATAGATCATGATCCAAGGCCAGAGGGTGAAATTCGGGGTCAGTGGGACACAGGTGTTCTGTATACACGTTGACCTTGAACACACAAGGTCATAGTAAAAATCTTGATCATAGAGGAGTAGCAGTTTTTGAACTAGGTTCGATTTCCTTTTTAAAGGGTCTTCACAGCGAGGACAGGCGGACCCATCTGTGTATTTTGCCCTTTTTACCTTAGCGCCCTTCTTTGTCCGATGGGCCGTTTGATCCTGCAAGTGCGCGGGTGGGTTTTGCCAGATGACAGCCGGCCCCGGCGCGGCTGCTGCTGCTGCTGCTGCTGTTGATGTACAGAGTGCTGCAGGGGACACCGACGAAGGCGCATCACGCACCAGGCGATCGCCAAGATCGAAATCATCCTGTGACAAAGCTTTGGTGTACTCTAGAAACAAAATCCCCAAACCGAATATATACAGAGTGTCGCAAATTTTACTACCATGCCACACTACGAACAAGAATACTTGGACCAATGATCATAATCATAACATGAAGCCCCACCAACAAAAATCCAGAAGGATCTTAACCATAGATCAACGGGTAAAGTTGCAATTAATGTGTTTTCAATACCAGATTTTAGATCACAGGCGGATACCAGAATAGATTCAAAATCATCATCATGATCATAGATAGTTGCATGATTGTTTCGGTAAGTTGAAATAGTACAGTACACTTAGACAGATCATAGGCACGTACACGTATATACACTTAGGTTTTATTATTTCTATCAGGTAAGAAAGCATACCTGATCGTAGATCATAGGTTTATGCATTGATGGCTGTTTCAATAAGATAAGACAGTACACTTGATCATAGATCACAAGTTCGTATCAAAACGTACAGTAAGTTATTATTATTATTTCTGTAATGTAAAAAGCATACCTGATTATAGATCATATGTTTATGTATTTATGGCTGTTTCAATAACATAGGATAGTACACTTGATCATAGATCATAACAACGTATGAAAATGTACAGTAGGTTGTTATTATTTCCATAAGGTAAGAGAGCACACGTGATCGGAGTTTTATAATTTATGGCTGTTTCAATAAGATAAGATAGTACAATTGATCATAGATCGTAATGCTACCAACCTAAGGCAGATCATGGATCATATACTTTCCAATCCTAAGGCAGATCATGGATCATAGACCTTTCAATCATACATCGTTGAGTTTCAAGGCTGCCGTATGTTATCAACCTAAGGAAGATCATGGATCATATAGCTTCCAATCATCGCGTTGAGTTTCAAGGTTGCAGGATGTCACCAACCTAAGGGAAAATCATGGATCATAGACCTTCCAATCATACCTTGTTGAGTTTCAAGTAGTCTTATGTTAACGACCTAAGGCAGATCATGGATCATAGACCTTCCAATCATACCTTGTTGAATTTCAAGATTGCCGCATCTTACAAACCTAAGGCATATCATGGATCATAGACCTTTCAATCATACCACGTTGAGTTTCAAGGTTGCCGCATGTTACCAACCTAAGGCAGATCATAGATCATAGACCTTTCAATCATACCACGTTGAGTTTCAAGGTTGCCGCATGTTACCAACCTAAGGCAGATCATAGATCATAGACCTTTCAATCATACCACGTTGAGTTTCAAGGTTGCCGCATGTTACCAACCTAAGGCAGATCATAGATCATAGACCTTTCAATCATACCACGTTGAGTTTCAAGGTTGCCGCATGTTACCAACCTACGGCAGATCATAGATCATAGACCTTTCAATCATACCACGTTGAGTTTCAAGGTTGCCGCATGTTACCAACCTACGGCAGATCATAGATCATAGACCTTTC